GTAAATTTGTAATTGAATCCTTCATAGCCTGGGTGCAGTGAATCTTATCATATACAGATACACTGGGCCCTTTGTATACATGGAGGATCTGTTCCGGACCCCACCACCACCACCACCACCACATGTGTAGAAAAACGCAGGACTTCAAGTCCCGTTGTTGTTAATGGCTGTGTTCTTCTGTGTATGGCGCTGCCGGTGTGCTGCAGGTGCATACATCATTGAAAAATGCAGCGTTTGTCATCCGCGTAAGCGTAAAGCCACGGATGGTGAGCCTGTGTAAGGTGCGGGCACACTGTAACAGTGCTATTCTTGGACATCCTCTAACAGTGCTATCCTCTGACTCAATTTCTGTTATTTCTTTTATCTCTTTAAATACGATTTGCCAATTTTTTTTTACAGATCTACAACCCCACCACATATGAATATAGGTACCAATTTCTTGACAACCCCTCCAACACATCCTTGAATAAGTCTTATCTATATGGTTTAACCTTACTAGTGTTAAATAACACCATCATACTAATTTATAATAGTTCTCCTTTATCCATATAGATAAGTTTTTTAAATGACAGGATTGTTGTGAGCATAAAGTAGAGGACAAGCTATAAACACTTCCAGGAACTCCCAGGAGGAAAGGTGAGATATAAATCTAACAAATAAAATTGGTCTAATTTTTTTGACCCTATCACTGCTTCAGGTGGCAGTGAGTTCCATAAGATAATCCTGCACTGTCTGAAGAAGTTCTTTCTTCTCTACAGCTAATCGACAACATTGGGTGACGCTGGATGGTATTTTATCATATATTTGTTCATTTAACCTTTCTTCCTTCCAGTGTAGCTCTGGCAGTGACTTACAACTTGAACTACAATAGAGGTTACCAACAGCAGGAGCTTGAATCTCACCTGTGGTCATCTTTTTGGTCCTGTCCCTTTTGTTCTACACACCACTGTGTTGAGGCCCTTCAGCATTATAGTTGAATTTGGCCTGCAGGCTGAGAGAGGTGGTCCACATGTTTCAGACTCTCTGGATCTGCTTGACATTTGAGGTCTGTTGGAGGGGTCCTCCTCTCTGTCCCACCCAAGAGGACATAAGAGAGAGCTTTTTCTGTGGTGGCACCCCATTTGTGGAACATCCTTCATTTGGAGGCCCTGTTGGCACCAATGTTGCTATCTTTTGCACCAAGTCAAAATTGATCTTTTCATTAAAGCTTTTTGACCTAATTGATTTTGTCCAGGTTCATTTGTTTTGTTGGTAACTGCCCCTCAAGTCAGCCTCAGCTCATGGCATCCCTGTGAATGAGAGACGTCCGAGTGTCCCTGTCCTCAGCTGCCCTGCTCAGGTCCTGCAGGCTCATGTCCATGGCATCCCTAATTGACTCTATCCATCTGGTATGCACTCTTCCTCTCTTTCTACTGCCCTCCACCTTTCCTAGCATTATTGTCTTTTCCAGTGAGTCATCTCTTCTGATGATGTGGCTGAAATATGACAACCTTAATTTAGTCATCTTAGCTTCCAGGGAGAGCTCAGGCTTGATCTGTTCTAAGACCCATTTGTTTTTCTTTTTGGCCATTCACATCCTCAGCACTTTTTTCCAACATCACATCTCAAATGAGTTGATTTTCATTCTGCCAGTTTTCGTCACTGTTCATCTTTCACATCCGTATGTGTCTAACCATTTTTAAATTATCTAGTTTTTAGCTGAAATTCTATTTATCTAATCTTTTAAAGTTATTTATTGTTGTGTGCTTTCAGGTTGTTTCCAATTTATGGTGATAGGGTCCCCATCACAAGGTTTTCTTGGCAAATTTCTTCAGAGGAGGTTTGCCATTGCTATCCTCTGAGGCTGAGAGTGTGTGACTTACCCAGAGTCACCCAGTGGATTTCATGGGATTTGAACTCTGTTCTCCAGAGTCATAGTCGAACAGTCAAACCACTACAAACCACTGCTGACTCTCTGTTGTTATTATAATTATTTATATCCTACCTTTCTCCCAAAATTGGGACTCAAGATAGCTTACAATTTTAAAAAGGACAATGCAACTAAAATAATGAAAAAGCTGAACATTAAAATGGAATTTAGTTATTTATAGTTTTAAAGTGATTTAAAACTACATTTTGCACTAAGTTCTTTTGTGTCCAGTTCTGGGCACCACAATTCAAAAAGGAGGTTGACAAGCTGGAGTATGTCCAGTGGAGGGCAACCAAAGTGGTGAAAGGTCTGGAAACCATCAAGCCCTATGAGAAGCAGCTTAGGGAGCA